ACATTTTTTATCCATAAAAACTAGCATCTTTCCATTTAGAAGACGTGATTATGTCAATTGATTACTTTTAGAATGCAAGAGTGTTCAATATTCAATGTCTTGCCTATTTTAAATTTGTTGTGGATTTGGAGCAAGTGTGTGCTTGTAAAAAATGGGATATGATTGAGATTCTATGCCCACATGCAATTTAAGCCATTGCATACAAGAGGGATGATCCATAGGACTTTGTAAGAAGGACACCTACATGAAGGCTTATGGGAATATTATTAATCTTATTAATGACCAGAAGTTATGGCTTAAGAGGAGTTGTAGGGTTGCTATGAGGAATGAGACAAGTGGTGGGACTAATGTGACAGGTTCTGGGATTGGAGCAAGTACTGTGACGGGTTCTGGGACTAGAGCTACAACAAAACCTAAGGCAAGAATTAGGATTAAGGCAGGATGGAGTAATACTGAAGGTACTGGGAGTAAGTCAGCTCGTGTGAGGAATAATGCAACTACAATGTGTAATGGGTCTGCTGCTGAGACAAGTGCAACTGTTATGAGGAGTGGGTCAACTGCTATTAGCAATGGAGTTCATATCCATATGAGAGCTTAGTAACCTGTGAGAAGAAATATCATAGCCACACGGTCACTAAAGTTTTTACCACATGGATCTATAGAACAAAATGGGTCAATTAAAGCAACTAATGGTGTGTAGGCTAAGAGGAAATGATAGGAGTACTGTGAAGATGGAAGATGACTATGTCTTTTGTATTTGTTTTTTTGTCTGTGATATGGGTTTTTACAAAGCCACTTTGTTCGGCTTCTTTTGTAATGAAAACCTCATATTTATATGTGAAGTGATCTATATTCCTATTTTGTTCAGTTTGTTTTCTTGTTTTGTTAAGTTTATTTTCCTGTTTTGTGAAGTTTATTTCATCAAAACTCAACTGCCAAATGCATTGCTACAAACTCAGAACAGGTAACATTTCATTCCAACAAACCCATAATTCCATTACAACAACACAACTTCTACATCCAAAATACATATACTTAGCCTGAAACACACAACTTAAGTGCATCAAAATCCTACATAGAACTTCAACATCAAAAACAATTACTAACTAAAGCACCCATTAAGAATCCTACATTCCCAAAGCGATGGCATGTGCAGGATTACTCCCTTCCACATTGCTCATATAAGTTGGCTTACTCAAGTAGGCAAATAAATCACCCATGTTAATTAGAATAAAAAATATCCACAACATCTTCTTTCGATATTGATATTTCATCGCATGGCCTTCCATCTTTCTGATCCTCAGTAGCAAGCTTGATATTATATTCTTGGATCGCATACACATAGGAGGATCATACCATTCAAAGTAACCACATCCTCCATTTTGCTGCATTTAACAACAAAATACCAACATTTTATTTGATCTAATTATTGTAAAAACTAATTAAAATATATTAGTGTTACATAAAAATCAAAATCGTGTCTGCACATTTACCCCATAATTATCGCATCGTAGAAACCTCCTACAAGGTTTTGATCTATCCAGGACGTTAAAATTAAGGTCTTCTCCCATAATGGCAGTCAATGTTTATCGTCCTCAACCTTTTACTAGGGATGTGAAGATGATTACTCCTTCCCTCTTCTTCTACACTTCGTGTGCTTTGTTTGGTCTTTCTGGGAGTGTCAGTGTTTCCAGACAGGTACATGGAGATGTGAAGAAGGCAAGAAAGTAGACAAATGATCATAATGCCCTTCACACGACCCTCACGTACTATTTTCCGTCAACCAATTAGACGAAAGTTAGGGCTAGGGATGAAATTGTTCAAATGTGCAAAGGTTGAGAACTAAATTGGAGAAATTAAAACTTTAGAGACCAAAGTTCTACAAATGACAAACATCAGGGAACAATAATTCAATTTACCCTAATAATTACCCTTTACTTTTAGCTATCACAATAGTTTTAGGATAATTTATCTAAACTATTATTAAAGTTAGATTTATTACACTCCACCTTGTAATTCCAAAACTACATACAATCCTAATTGACTAAGATTAATAAAAACATACAACTTATCATTATTATCATATACTTTTTTTTTTTTAAAGGAAATGATAGGTATTCCATTAATTAGGAAAATCCATAACGAGAAGGGGCACTATAAAATCAGGTGCCACCCCCTCCCATACATCAGATCAGAGCATTCAACATTCTTTGCATGTCTATCTAATTGGTGAGCTACCTCATTGCAAGTTCTCCTTATTGTAGAAATGTCAAAAGAATGAAAATCATGCATAGCATTCCTAATATCAGCTAACACCGTACCTAAAGGATCAAAGTCAATCTCAGAATTATTTAGAAGATTCATAACCATAGATGAGTCTCCCTCCAAGCTAATACTTTCGTATCCCAGTTGTCTTGCAAAGAAGATGACTTCTCTTGCCGCTAAGATTTTCGTTGTCTGAGGTTCACAGGAGGAATTCATTTTTTTTCGACATCCCAACCACATATTGGAGGAGTCCAACATGCTGATGCTTCCACTTGTGCTACAGTGTTCCCCAGAATCCATCGCCTGCTCATATTGCTTGAGAAAATCCATTGCAACTTGACATGTAGAAGGTGGGTCTTTCTTCAAATTTTGAAAAAGCACCCCGTTTCTGTTATTCCAAATCAGCTAGCAATGAACCAGCACGAGGGAGAACAATTGAGATGGTAGTCGTTGTGACATTTACGCCAACCAACAAGATATTTGGCATAAGGGAAGTTGTATNTAATTATTTAGAAGATTCATAACCATAGATGAGTCTCCCTCCAAGCTAATACTTTCGTATCCCAGTTGTCTTGCAAAGAAGATGACTTCTCTTGCCGCTAAGATTTTCGTTGTCTGAGGTTCACAGGAGGAATTCATTTTTTTTCGACATCCCAACCACATATTGGAGGAGTCCAACATGCTGATGCTTCCACTTGTGCTACAGTGTTCCCCAGAATCCATCGCCTGCTCATATTGCTTGAGAAAATCCATTGCAACTTGACATGTAGAAGGTGGGTCTTTCTTCAAATTTTGAAAAAGCACCCCGTTTCTGTTATTCCAAATCAGCTAGCAATGAACCAGCACGAGGGAGAACAATTGAGATGGTAGTCGTTGTGACATTTACGCCAACCAACAAGATATTTGGCATAAGGGAAGTTGTATGACATGCTTCATAGGGCTGTTATCCTAGGACGCCTTCGCCCAAGCACAGTCCTTGAGAAGATGTATTACGGTCTCAACCTCCTCTTTACAAATACAACACAGATCATCACTTCGAATCGTCTGACGATTGAGGTTCACTTTAGTGGGAATAACATTCAATGACAATCTCCAAACAAACTTTTTTATTTTGTTTGGCAATTTTTGTTTCCATATAAAATTCCAATTATTCTCTTTGTTTGACGAGGACTTACCAATTACTTTATCCGAGTTATAAAGTTTGTTGTTGTAAATTAGGTGAAACACATTGTGAACAAAAAACATGCCCTTCGAGGTATAATGCCTTATTAACTTATCCTCCAGGGAAGAAATACTCAAAGGGATCCGCATAATCACGAGTTTCATGTTCCGTAAAATTTTTTTTAAGTAGTTGCTCATTCCACATTTGGGGCCATTGGTGAATAAGGTCACCGGCCGTTGCTTCATCACTCAAGGTATTTTTTGGAGCGACACTTAAAAGTCTAATAAATCTAACTCGTGCCGAAGATTCTTCAATTCAAACCTAAATCAAGAAAGTCTCTCACCAATCACCCTCTTCCTCCCAAAATAAACATGTTCTATCACCCTTGAATTTCGAACCTTTACAAAAATAATAATAATGATAGATCGATTAAAAAAAGAAATATAAGACTCAGAGGAGAAAAAGTTAATCCTAAAACCTCTCACTTTCTTTTTTTGGCCTGCAAAACCTCTTACGTTTTCATGCTCAAAAGTTAAGCAATCCATAACAAAAAAAAAAAAAGAGAGAGAGGGGGAGAGATAAAAAAAAAATAACAAAAAATGCTGCTAGTCGCTAAATGATGTAATTTGGAGTCGAACCAAACACGCCGTTGGGGTTTTCGGTAGTTGGGGAAAGGGTTTTTCTTTCCGCTCCAAAAACATTACAAGTGCTCTCTCTTCCATAGCCGAATTCAAATTAGAAGAAGAAGAACCTATATAAGTTGTTCTTCTTCTTCATACCTTAACTCTCACTCACAAGTCCTGTGATTCAAATCCAGACCAGAAATAATGGCTACCATCGTCCCCCCAGCAGCTACTACTCCACCAGCGGCTTCGAAACCTACCGTGATCGAGCCGGAGAAAGTCGATTACTTGAACCTGCCTTGCCCTATTCCCTACGAAGAAATTCACCGCGAGGCTCTCAGTTAGTATTAATTTGTCACTTCTAATCGCGGTGTTTGATTTTTATCTTTTTTACTGCATATTTTACTGTTTTACGTTGTACATGGTCTGATCTTTAATAAAAAATCGAGAACTTATTGGGAATTTATAGATTAGTTTATCTAATTACTTTGTACTAAAACCCTCATTATGAGACCCTAAACACAGTGTATACGCCTTGAAAGTAAATAATGTACCACATTTGGGACCATTGATACAAATCCAAAGCACTTTGTTAGTTTTTACGAGCAAATTCCCATGAATATAGTGTTGAAGGGTTGGTTGTAATATGCCAATGGCAGCGATTGGTTGATGCTCGTAGTAAGAGGTTGTCTCCAACATATTTATGAGAGTGGCTCTGAAGACGATGTTAGCATTGATGTTTACATATTGTGAACTAGCTGCGTCACTTTTTAATGTATTATCTGATAGCCAATTTGGTCACTGCCTTCCGATGTAATTACTAAAACAGAAATATGCATTATGGTATGATGCTTACGACTGAATGCTGATAGGAAAGAAGTTGGTTTTCTAAGTTGGTAAGTATTCTGATCTTGGATGGCAGTGTCCTTGAAGCCTGAACTTTTCGAAGGGATGCGCTTTGATTTTACCAAAGTACTTAATCAGAAATTCTCTTTGAGTCACAGGTAGCTTAAACTTTTTGTCACCCTTCCGAACATTTCAAAGTTTATTGTGTATGTTTTCTGACCTTATTCACATTCTTACTGATATGAATGTCTGTGCCTTTTTTCTCTTCATCAGTCTTTTCATGGGACCTACAGAAATTCCTTCTCAATCTGCTGAAACAATTAAAATACCTACTGCTCACTATGAGTTTGGTGCTAACTTCATTGACCCGAAGGTATGTTACCACTACTGCACCATTGGGATCAACCAATTCTTATTTGTGTTAACGTAACCGAGGAAGCATTGATTGGTGTTTCTCAGTTGATGCTTTTTGGGAGGATATTGACGGATGGAAGGCTGAATGCAAGAGTGAAGGCTGATTTGTCCGAGAATCTTACTTTGAAGGCCAATGCTCAAGTAAATGATACATTTGCCAAATTTTTATTGGAATTTAGCCCTTTAACCTTTTTTTTTTTGCGGTGCTGGAGGTATATTTTACAACGGAATTGGGTGTGCAATTAGAATTGGAGCAAAATGAGTACAAAAGAAATAAATTTGTTTGTAATTCCAATTCCAATTCCCAAATTCCAAGAAGCCTGAACAACACGGTCACTAACTGAGTTACATTTGTTTTTCATCATTTTCAGCTTACAAGTGAGCCTCATATGTCGCATGTAATGGCCAATTTTGATTATAAGGTGAGATTTATTTCTTTTTAGCTTCTTCACTGACATGCACAGTCACAGACACAAACACTTACATGTGCATATAGATATAAAACTTTGCATGTCTGGTGTTATCCATAGACCTATTATTGGAGTTCCATGAATTTAGTTTGTTGGTTACTTTATTGAGTAGACTGGCATAATTAGATTGTGTTTGTAAAGTTTACTTGACATAATGTGGTTTCTGTTAAGCTCTACAGGGTAAAGATTATAGAACACAATTTCAACTAGGGAATGGTGCTTTATTTGGAGCCAGTTACATCCAGGTACAATATCTAATCTTTTATTTTCAAATCATGCAGACCATTATGTGAACTACAATCTAGTATAAACAATGCCTTGTGCTCATGTTGGAAAGCAATTAAGGGTTTGCTGATCATGACTCTGTGTTATATGAATGAAAAGTTCTGACTTTGAAAGCAGGAACAAACAGCTTGACCAAATGAGCCCAGCGATGTTACCCAATTTAGGCAAACACATCTGTATGATACAAATCAACTTGTATTTTTTTTCCAAAAAATGTAATGGGAAAGGTGTGTATATCAGGACCCAGGCTTCAAGGTGAATGTCTAGACTTACCAGATAGTTGCATTACTTGCCTTCATGTTTGAGGTGCCTTTTAATTTCTTAACTTGACGTAGAAGAACATGTATTCTGCTCCTGTTCATTCTTCTGAAAATATGATTTGATCGAGTCTTAATTCTATGATTCTATCTGGTACTCGGGATGAGTTGCGATATAGAAGGCTAGGATGGTACACTAATTCTCTTTTTCTTTGTAGAAATATGACCATTTTTGTGTTCTTATACAAACTACAGTATGTGGCGGAGTAGTTCATTGCAACTGCTCCTGCATCACAAAGCACTACTTATATAGGCTGTTACGCTGCTCAAAGTGTTAATTGTGCAAGGGGGCTAGTTCAATCTCTTGATAAAGGGGCAATGTACGATTAACTTTTCAGAAAAATTCAAGCCGTTGTAAGCGTCCTGGGGAATGATTTCAAATACGGGCCATACTGTTAAGTCTTCAGTATTATTTGTCTGTAGTTACCCTTATGTTGGCAATCTGATTGTTCAGGACATGTAGCATGGGAATGTCATATAGTGATCCCAATGACAGATGCCTTTTTTGCAATTGTTGGTCCGTTGCAAACAGCTGTTGCGTGTGTTTTTTGAAAAAAATTTATAATTGATTACATTGTTTCTAAATTCTTCTTCTACCCTCCATTTGCTTTTGCAATTTTGCATGTGGGAGATGGCTTTTCCCCTATTCTTATTTTTTCTCCTCTCACCCTTTCTTTTTGCTTACCAAGTTTTGTGAAGAATCATATCTTTCTAAAATCACAGTTTTTTTTTCCCTCAGAGTGTGACCCCCAACTTGTCTTTGGGTGGCGAAGTATTCTGGGCTGGTCAGCATCGAAAGTCTGGCATTGGTTATGCTGCACGATACAACACAGATAAGATGGTACTATGTCTTGGCTTTATGCGCTGTTTTGAGGCTTAAGTTTCATTATGCTTGAGAATTAATTTGTTATGCTTGTAATCGATTTTGTATTGTGTGTTAGTGGTTTCTCCATAGTCCTGCAATTTAACACTACTTAGATGCCCTTTTTTTTCTGTTTGATGAGTGTGTAAGGTTTTCATTTCTCAAAAGGCTGAAGCTAGATAAGCAAGGATTGTCCTGCTTTGTGTTGTCAGTTATCTCCTTCTCGTTCTTTTTCGGTGATTTCTCTCATGCTCAAGTGGCAAGAGCGATGAGCAAAGTCATTTGAATGATGTATTTGGCTGGAAAGTTATTGATAGGTAGCTTTTCTTTTGTAATGAAGTAATGATAGGGTAGGAATTATAATGCTTCACTTGGAACATATTCTCACCTCCAGTACCCGCCAAGCTTCAATTGGAACAAATTCTCACCTCTAATGCCCCCATGCGGAAAAAAAAGAAAGATATAAAGAAGAGGAAAAAGTGACGCCTGTGTCATAAGAAAAAGAGCGTGACATGATATATGCCACATGACATGCTCAATTGTTGGTAAATAGGGATGCATATGCAGCAGGGAAGTAGCATGTGTGTGAGGATACACATAATTTTTGTGGATTCCCTGCTGTTAGTCAGCATTGTCAAACTTTTAAGCTTCTATTGAGATTGTTGTTCACTATTATCCTTTGTTGCTGTACTTTGAGGAAGCCATGTAGCAATGCCCATGGTTTGCTGGTTCAACACTCGTGTCACATCCAAAAAAAGCAAGCTGTAGGTGTTAGTGAAGTCTTTGTGTCTCTGTCACATCCAAGGATCTTTAGAAATGCCTGTGCTTCTTAGCCCCTTGCTGGTTGTGGTTTCTAGTTAATGGTTTCTTCTCCAATGGCCCTGACTAGTGTTTAGTTTTTGCTTTTTTCTGCAATGCATTCTCAAAGGCAGCTGAATATTCGGAAGGGATTTGAAGCAGCATTTTTGTCAGTGGGTCAAGATTGTTAACACCCACGCAGAAGGAAAGATCCATTCATGCCTTCTTTTTTGTGTGAATCTTTTTAGTAATTCTTTGTGTCTCTGTCACATCCAAGGATCTTTAGAAATGCCTGTGCTTCTTAGCCCCTTGTTGGTTGTGGTTTCTAGTTAATGGTTTCTTCTACAATGCCCCTGACTAGTGTTTAGTTTTTGCTTTTTTCTGCAATGCATTCCCAAAGGCAGCTGAATATTCAGAAGGGATTTGAAGCAGCTTTTTTTAGAGTGGGTCAAGATTGTTAACACCCACGCAGAAGGAAAGATCCATTCATACCTTCTTTTTTTTGTGAAGCTTTTTAGTAATGGTGGTTCTGTTGCTTCAGGAAAAAGATTTCTTTCCCGTTCCTTTTTGCTTTGCTTTGCTTTGCTTTGTAAAGCTTCAACAGTGGTCTCATGCGTGCAGATGGTTCTTGCAAAAGCCCACTACGAATCTCTCCTCTCAGCAGAGAGAACAGCAAATTCACACTTGTGCATTCTTTAAACTTGAGCTACATGGATCCCTTGATCCCCCCTCCCCCTCTTTTCTCCCTCTCAGTCAGTGATACACACACACACTCATGAATGGACTGCTACCCTGTTATGACTTGGTTGATGCGTGATTAAAGTTGTTATTAATATATTAAGTATCAAAGAGAAAAGTTTTCATTCTAGTTTTTTTCTTAGTATTTTCTGAAATCTTTGTCATTTATTTGTATGTATGTTCTCTGATGTCTAAAAAAGAACTTTTTCTGATGTATTTCAAATGATTTAATGTTGAATTTTGACTTTTTCTTTCCTTACTTTTGCTGCTGGAAAAGAGTTGGGTTTTTTTTTTGTTTTTTTTGTTTTTTTGGGGGGGGGGGTTTTAGTTCACACATTCAGTTTCTTATATAACTTGATTAGATTCACCGTGTTGCTTGCAGGTTGCTACAGGACAAGTTGCTAGCACTGGAATGGTTGCTCTGAGCTACGTTCAGAAAGTCTCTGAAAAGGTAAGAGTGTCAAGCTGCTTGATGATCTGTTGTAACACTCAAATCTATTTATATATCTCACACTGTTTTATGTAGGTTTCTCTAGCATCAGACTTCATGTACAACTACATGTCAAGAGATGTCACTGCAAGCGTCGGTTATGACTACATCCTCCGTCAGGTAACTTCTCCTATTGCAAATTTTAAAATACATGAGATGACTCATGAGCATATGCATGTTGTTCTCTGCATCATATCATTCACCTTTTCAGAAGTTTTGAGTACAACTATATGGTTTGTTTCATTTTTAGTCCATCTCTATCATTGGGTAATATCTCAAGCAGGTACATGCACCGTGGCTAAAACCTGTACTTGCATTCTTAATTAACAACTTTTTGGTTATTTGTTGTGTGCATGGTTAGACAGAGTATTTTCTTTTATTAAGATTGGATTTCTTATGCAATCTTTCTTAACGTAATACCATATTCTACTTTAATACAAGAGTTTCTGTTTTCTATCAAAAAAAAAAAATGATTACACCCTTGCTTGACTGAGTGCGTGTGAGATGATTACGTTTCAGAAATTACTTTCATATTTTAATTTATCTGGGTTGTGGTGAAATCTTGTTCGTGTGTTTGAATTAAAATCATATTTTAATAACTTGGGTATCTCTCTAGGTTTGTCATGCATTTTACTCTTAGTTGATGTGGCCATTTGGTATTTCTTCCTTCCTTTGTTTGTTTGTTTGTCTGTTTTTTTTTTGTGTGTGTATAGTGGCCAAATTAATCCCTTTTTAATCATCTAATTTTTGTTTCTGAATTTGCCAAATTGCCGCTGGGGATGTACCGTCTGCTCCAAGTTTGTGCATAAAAAAATAAGACTCAAATTATCAACATGCTGATTGTCATTTCTCCATTTTGACAGTGTCGTCTTAGAGGGAAGATTGATTCCAATGGTTGCACAGCTGCTTTCCTGGAAGAGCGGCTCAATATGGGTCTTAATTTTATCCTTTCAGCTGAGGTAGAGATCTACGTGCCACTTGCCATCCTTATCTGTTTTTTTTATTTTGTTTATTGCAAGTGCAAAACCCAACCCGACCCCCAGCTATCTGTTCTGCACAATCATAAAATATTTCCCTTCTACCTCTTGTTCTGTTCATTCGGCAAGCATTCTGTCCAGTGTCCTGCCATTTAGATTTCTCCTGGTTGCGGATGTAACCTTATGATTGCAGAAGTCTATGAAGTCCATATCTTAATGGTCTTGTTCATTCACACAGCCATGCTTGATTGTCTAGCTCAGAGAGAGAATATTGATTAACCTTTGACATTTACGTTACACTCTGGACTTGCCTTGTTAATGTGCATAATATGTCTTGCAGATAGATCACCGGAAGAAAGACTACAAGTTTGGTTTTGGGTTGACAGTAGGAGAATAGATTAGATGGCACGGATGCTGTTCTCGGTTATATTGAAGTGTATTGTTGCGATCATCTTGACTTGTGTTAATGGGTTATTTTTTTGTCCTTTCAATGAAGATCAAAAGCATCAGTTTTGTAATTTTGTCGAGCGACGTCATTTATGGGACATTGCCTGCTAGTGCACCAATTTTAGCATTCGTAGTAGTAGTTGATTTTGCAGTGGGAGCTATTATCGAAAAACCCTATAAATATTGTAGAATTTTTCCCCATGGAAAATGAGTTTATGTATCAACTTAATAAATGGTGCCCAACTTGAGATTTGTTTAGTCTTTGGTGTTTGTGCATCTCAAGTATCTTTACTTGTATTGATCTTGTATGTGTATATCATTCCAACCGTGCGTTTTTTAGATTTATGGTTGCAATATAAACATTGGATACCCGTAATCACTTGTAAAAATGATTTCATTGGTGAAGTTCGAGTTTTGTTTTTTCTGGTTGTGCCGACCTTGGTTGTACTGTTAGTTGCAGTAATGGAGAACAGGTTACAAGTTGGTGGAATCTGTGGGCAGTAACATGTGTCTATGTGACAGTTGCAGTGATAAATAAATATATTCCTCTTTTGATGGTGACGGAATGGCTTTAAGGACCTACTTGTTCATTGTTTTATTTGTTCCATTCCATGGTGGGGGACTTGTACCTAATTTAATTAGCCAAATGATCCATCCTACTCCCTAGGAATTGTTCTTATATATATATATATATATATATATATATATATATATATTAAGATTAATCCGTACTTGAAGGTATAGTATAATATAAATGATTTTGAAAAGGGCGTCGGTGGTCATTGAATGAGTCTATATGAGATCGTTGTCGAATAAATTTATTGAAATCTGTTATACTTTATATTATAGATATAAAGTCTTAACATGTACAATTATGTAGTTTTTGCATTACACTGTTTTGATCATTTTCTATACGCGCACCCTATTTTGGTCTATGATGATAGAATGTGTTATTTTGTTGTTGATTTAAAATTATTTCGTCTATATATTAAATAAAAGATATCAGACAAACATACAGTAATATATGGTGTACGATATAATTCATGTCTTATATGACAATTTTTTATAAAGTAATTTTTCATTTTATATGGTGCCTTTAGGCACGGTCCTCCCTAAAGGAAATTTTGCCAATATTTTTTGAAAATATAGTAGGGTCTAAACTGATTTTAATTTTTTTAATTAAAACAAAAATAAAAAAAAGATTATTTCAGATTATAGGGGCGGCCCAAAGCATTTTGATGTCTAAAGCGATAATATTGAATACTGTTTTTTATTTTTAATATTAAATTTTATTAAAAATTTATTTATTTTTTATTTATTATATGTGTGTGTGATAGAGAGAGTAAATGTGAGATAAATATAACTTGACGTTTGAGTAAATTTTTTTAACTATTTTTAGTGTTTTTTTTTGAACTTTTGATTTTTGAGTTTATAATATTATGGGTTGAATCATACACCCAAATTATTAAAATTAAAAATTTTGATTGTACTTAATTTTTTGGAGCTCTTTTGATGTGGATTAATTATAAATTCAAATGAGACCTAAAATCCAAGTTTTATCTACAATGAAGTTGGGTGGGCCCGTCAAATTGACGAATTTTTTTAAATTATAAAGTGTTTTTAGACATGAGTTACTATTAATATATAGTAATATGGTGTTAGGATATTCTGAAATTAATTTATATAAATAAATTAAATTTTCTTGTAATTAAGTTAAACTTATCGATCATAATTGACTTTGCTTTGCACAAACAGCTCATTAAAGTCACTGTTTTGATACCACCAAGTAGGGTGCCCTACTGGACCTTCCTCGTCACTTTGAAATTGGAATTTCGATTATTGAAATTTTTATTGGGACTTGATGATTGACTATTATGCTAGCCTAATTAAGTCTGATTTTGAGAGATATTTTAGGCACGATCAAGACCTTATGATTCCACCGATAAAGCCCTATAAGGGTGGTCGCTGGGCTCTTTTCCTAGCCTCCACCCCTACTTTTATTTATCAAAAAAAACCAAAAAAAAGTCACTGTCTTGATGAACCAAACTTCCTTCGCTGCAGAAAACATCATAAGACTGACGTTAGGGACCAAATCCCACCGTTAGATTTACATACCAAGGTGGCTTTGACTTTTCTGTGTATGCTACTGAGATGTAACCTAGCAAAACCCAATATCTATATGGGATTCATCAATTGGATAAACTTGGGGAAGGCAGGTTATCCGTGAAAAAAGCCACAGTTGCCTGTGCTCTGCTCTTCTCTGCAACTTGGTAGTGAAATTCTTCTCAAGAGTTCTTTGATCAGGTGACACTTTTCTTAAACATTTTCTTCTTCTTCAACAAGGGTATTGTTCATCTGGTGGGTATCCCTCTTTGTAAATCCACTTGGGTTTTGATTATCTTGTGTGTGTATATATATATATAGGGACACAAACACACACACACACACGCACACACAAACACAGATTCATGCTTGTATATTAGGTTTGTGGGAAGAAATTAAAAAAGGGATCAAACTTCCAAAGTCATGTCACTGATTTTATGACTCTTTGATGTGGAAGAAAGTTGGTGTGAAGGGTTTCTCAAATCTATTTTTTGAGTGAGTTGATTGTTCGAAATTTTGTGGAAGGATAAGTTGTAAGATTCGAATACTTGAAATCCTTTTAAATTTGTAAANCTGTAAGATTCGAATACTTGAAACCCTTTTAAATTTGTAAAGAGTTCAGAACACTTCTTAAGACGATCCTAAATAGTATGGATTATCATAATCCTTCAAATCCCCAATTGTGTAAAGAGATGAGAAAGTGTACGTTACGGTAATGTAAAGAAAAGGCGATTTTAAGGATTACTAATTGTTTAATGTGTCCATGTTTTATACTCTAATCCTGTGGAGTTAGTTTGGGTGTTGATTTTAGTCATAGTGGTAAAGGTAAAGTTAGTTTGGGTTCTGTTGTGCCATCATAGGTGGTGGTGATTTTATGATGGTGGCAGAAATAGCATTGTACTCCTTATGTGTTGGGGTCCATATCATGATGGTGATTGGGGGTCTCGATGGATTGTCATTTTTTGTTTCAGAACAATTATTAGACTTATTTTATCTTCATTTTTTCTCTAGCAAACGTGTTTTTGAATCCGAATTTCAGTCTGTCATGCAACAGCAATTTAAAGAGAAGATATATATTGTATTTGGGAAGCTCAAGTTAATCACATGCATAATGTGCCAGCCATTGATTTTATTTTGTGGTGAATGTAATTATATATTTTCTTGTGGGTTAGAACCATCCAGATGGTTAATTGAATCACATTGACCCCCCTGAATATTGTACCCAAAATTTCTAGATAAAATGCAAGGAGGAATTCGGACTCTCCTGTCACATGGGAACTTCCTCAGGAATGCAGTTCTGCAACATATCCGTTTGGTGAACCCATCGGTCATGCGGCCAGTTGTGTTTACACGCCATGAGTCCGTTTCAGCTGCTCGTATTGAAGAACATGGTTTTGAAAGCACCACCATTTTGGATGTTTTGAAAGCCAAAGGGAAGAGTGCTGATGGCTCCTGGCTTTGGTGTACTACGGATGACACTGTTTATGATGCTGTGAAGTCGGTAGGCGTCTGTGTGCCTTATATATTGTAGTGGTACTTTTTACCTTAGCCATTCAATCAATTGCTGTCACATGGACCAATCTGCATTTGTGCATGAAGTTACTATAATTATATTGATCAGTGTTTGTGTTCATTTCTGCTGGAATTTGATTTAAAGACCAAATGAATAATGGCCATTGCAGATGACACAACACAATGTAGGAGCCTTGGTGGTGGTAAAACCTGGGGAGCAAAAGTCAATTGCTGGAATCATCACAGAGAGAGGTAATTGAAGAGTCCTTGTTTAACTTTGAGAATACATGTGTTTCCATCAAAACATATATGATTTGATGCTTGCTAGTTGCCAACTGAAAAGATACCCAAATTCTTGTGCTTCTTTTTGTAATCACTATTTGGTGGCACGCTTGGTGCCTGTAAGATGAGAAATTATATTACGGAAAAGAAAGAGGAGATGTCAGATGTTTGCTGCTTTTTTTTTTGTTTTGGATGTATTTAAAACCAGTTTTAGCAACGATTGACAATGCTTGATAGTTTGATTGAATTAGCTCTCTACTGCATTAATGAACTTTGCACCACTGTCATTGGAATGCTTCTTGTGACTTCCCACCTTCCAAGTCCTGACATGCTGGTAGATTGCTATGCATGTTCATATGCTATTGCACACACTGCAAACATACTCATGAGCAAAGCAAGCTTCACTCACCCAGTTGATAAGTTTCTGTTTTGATAATCGTTCCCATTGCAGATTATCTCAGGAAAATCATAGTGCAGGGAAGATCATCCAAGTCAACTAAGGTTGGGGACATCATGACTGAAGAGGTATGCTTTCTAACCTGCTTTGAAGCAAAAACTGGTTAAGCTCTGAATTCTCACCGAATGAGTGTAAATTTAAGATGACAAATGCAGTACTTCGTATTTTGTGGTGATTGCAGAACAAGCTTATCACAGTTAAACCTGACACCAAAGTTTTGAAAGCAATGCAATTAATGACAGGTATCATATGGCCTTTATTTTGTAATGAATTGGTATGATCACTAGTCTGTTGATATTTCCCTTGTAGCAAGGAAGAGGATATTAAAGCTTTAGATTTGCTGATTGGCAGATAACCGTATCAGGCACATTCCAGTGATCGATTCCAGTGGGATGATTGGCATGGTGTCCATTGGAGATGTGGTTCGCGCTGTGGTTAGTGAGCATCGGGATGAGTTAAACCGCCTGAGCGCATTTATACAGGGTGGTTACTAGATGATGACGACAATGACAATAAGCTGTTTAGCTGTTTGGCTGTTGGATACTTGCTCTATGAGCACTAAGCTTAGCCTTGTAAATGTAGTGTGCTGTTTGCATCTCCTGCTATGTGATGCCGTGTGCCTCTAGATAAAGCACTTGAACTGAGACGTTAATAATGATCACTCTTAGCTTGAAACTTCTTGCACAGTTTTGCAGTACTTAGTCTAGAATAACATGGTTGGCAATCCTGCCTGTAATTGCCGAGGTAATGGTGCTCCAGTGTTTAACTGCCTTCTTGAAGATTCTAGCAAGTCTAGAAATATTATATCTATATTTATAGCTGTACTACTTATAAATCTCAGCATATGTAAAAAAATTTTAATTTCTATTTAATAGTGTTAAGTCAATTATATCCTACATATCCTTATTAATGTCATCATATTCCTTCTATTAAAACACTTCTT